ATTGGGCACAAAAGAAAGCATGAAATGGACACTCTTTATCAAAATAGACTTAACACAAACACAACGTGTACTTACTTTTATGGAATGATGGACTGTTGCTTTTATTGTATTCTCTGTATCTTGGAAGAAACATCGTATTTACTCTGTGCACTAGCGATACCTACGTGACTAGTCATTTACATTCAAATATAGGTGAGCCCATAAATTCAAAATACCATCTGCTCTACCATTGGAGGACACTGATTTCGATATCAGTTACACAAAGTGCAACATTGCAATAATTCCTTTAATAGGCAGAACAGGTATTATACCCAGAGAATAACAAATTCAGCTAGAACAAAATTAACTTAATAAGTTTCTCGACCACTTGTTTTATGAAACTGTGCATACAGAGAATAAATGATAAATTCAAAATAAAATACTATAGTAATACAAAAAAAATAGGAACTCATGGTATATGATTAATATTTGAACAAAGGAATAAAGGCAGCTAGAAAGAAATCAACATAAAGAGTTTCTTGTCCATGTGTTATATCAAAACTGCAATATTTAGAATAAATGCAAAAGTTGAAAAATTCTACATTAAAATGAGAACATAGAAAATGCATGGCATGCCTGCATACCACTGTTCTACAAGCTTTCCATACCATAAATCTATGAGCATCCAATCAGTTAAGGTTTAGAGTACCTACACCCTTCTTAAGTAATGTATGATTCGTAAAGAGTTACATAAGCAAACTTAGCATAAAATATTGCTACTAAAAATAACTAAATATGACACCTGTGGTATATAAATCAGCTAAATCATAATGTTCCCATTAAAATGAAACTGAAACAGTCATGTATATCTAACAATTAGTCCTCTTTAACAAAAATATTTAAAATATGTTTTAATATGTATGTATTTACTGTTCTCAGTTCACGTTCACAGTCTACTCATACAATCTGCACCAACGTTTGCAGTCCCAGTTATGGCCTCACTGCAGAACTGTTACTTTTGGAGGTGCAATGCCAACCTCATTATTCTTGCACTCTCACTTTTGCACCTCTGGATGTGTGCAAGGGGCTGATGATCCATCTTGAAGACGAACTCGTTCCCATAGAGGTAATTCTGGAACTTCCAGATGGCACATATGATGGCCACACACTCTTGTTCAATCAGAGAGTAGTTCTTCTCACTACTCAACAGTCTTTTTATGAAGTGCATTCCTGGAAACATTCCATCTTTATTTTCTTGCAAAAGTATTTTTCCAATTCCAACTTCTGATGCATTAGCCTGAACCAAAAATGGTTTGTACAAGTCTGGCACTCTAGCGATGGGCGAACTTCCTAACTTGTTCTTTAACTTCTGGAATGCCACCTGCTGTGATTGTTTCCACTTCATCTTATTGGGTTGGTCATTCTTAGTCAGGTTAGTCAGTAGTGCAGCAACTTCAGCATGATTTGGAATGAATTTCCTATAGTGACCTGCTAGCCCCAGAAAAGATCTGACTGCTTAGTCGTCAGAGCTGGTGCATCTTGTATCCAAGTTATCTTCTCCTCTTCCATGGCTAGTTGATAGTTATCCCCATTGTGTCCAACAAAGTCCACTACAGAATATCTGATGCAGCACTTAGATGGTCTGATGGTTAGACCTGCTGCTCTCACTCGCCACAACTGCTCTCTGAGCTTCTTCAGGTAGTCTTCCCATCTGGCTGTGTGGGTCAGAATGTCATCCACATAATACTCGATGATGGTGGTTTTGTGCAACATCTTCCTCATCATATGATTTAATGTTGCTGCTGAATTGAATAACCCAACAGCATCCTCTTGAACTGGTAGTATCCATTTTGTGTCACAAAAGCTGTCTTTCTGTAGATTCTGTCTCCATCTGCATCTGCTAATAACCTTTACTGGGGTCGATTCTGGTAAAGAAATTTACTCTGTTTATTTTCACCATGATAACCTCTGGGTTGCCCATAGGTTCAGAGTTGAAACTCATCCCAATGTTCAGCTTCTGGAAATCTATTCAGAAGTGGTTTGAGTCACCCTTCTTTTTCACAATTACCACTGATGAATGGTAGGCAGAATTTGAAGGCTTAATGATTCTGGCTTCTAATATTACTTCGACTTTTCGCTTCATTAGGTCTCTCATTGCAAAAGGAATGTAATAAGGTTTCACCTTGACTGGATCTTTGGCTGTGGTCTCCATCTTGTGTTGCACAAGATCTGTTGTCTTGCCTTGTCTATCTGTGAAGACATATGTGTACTGGCACAGTAGATCTTTTAGCTCTTTCTTCTGCTTGTCAGTCAGTTCTTCACTGATGTTGATGTCTCTGTATGTCTCATCTCCACCCAATGGTCATAAGTCTAGTAGGTCTTCGTCTTCTGTGACAAAGTCACCATCTTCTGGTTTTTCATTTATGACAGCCAACATAGCCTTCACTTTCACAACAATACCGTAGTTTGTTGGCATCTCTCAATAAATGTCACATGCTCTGATCACCACTGGTGCTGTTGACCCATTTGCTAACTTGAGTTGACCATAAATCACACACTGTTTAATATCGTGATATCACTTTCTTCTTGTGATGAATCTGACAAGTTGCCTTCATTGTGTTCTGTTTCTTCTGGTAGCAGCACTCATGGTGACATTCACTTGTTTCTTGTCAGCACCATCTTTGTCCAGGGAAAAACCAGCTGCTTTATGTTGAGATTTTTACTGCTGCTTCTTGCTGAAAGACTTACACTTACTCACAATGTGCCCCATTTATGACAAGCATAGTATATTTTCTCCCTTTTATTTGTTGTCTTGTTGTCAGCTTTGGTAGCATTCTGCTTTTGGTCACCATCCTTGGTTTCGACATTAGCTGGTTATTTCTGAAATTGCCAGTTGTACTTTCTCCGTGGGCTTTCATATATTTTTCTGTCAGTTTGATCATCTCATACACGTTTTTGATGCTCTCTCCTTTAGGAACAGTGAGATGTTAGTTGAGCATGTGATCATGAACTGTTCATGTATTAGTATATATGCCAGTCCTTCAAAACTATTTTCACACTTGGTTATGTCAGTTCATCTTGTAAAGTATCACCATAGATGTGTCACTAACTGAAATACAGTTTCTCCAGTGTCAGGTTTGACTTCTCTAAATTTCCGATTAAAACCTCGATTAATTCATAGTGTTTTAGCAATGCCAATTTTAACTTGTGATAGTCCATGGCATCTTCTGACGTCATGCCTGCTTACACTTGTAGATATTTTTCTATCTTTGGGTAAATCTTTTATACTTATCTAGGAATGCATCCACGTCATCTTTCTGTTTATCAAATTTGGACAGCTTGGGTTGGCTGGCCGTGACACCATTGTCATTGTTGGGCCCTCCATGTTTCTGTTGAGTAATCTAGATGTCCTCAGTTTGTGCTCTTATTCTCTCTATTTCCAGTCTCTCCTCTCTCTCCTATTTTTCTTTTTTGGGTTTGGGTTTCATTAACACGTTTTCCTTTCAGTTTTTTCCTTCCTCTCTTCTCTGCTTCTCCTCCTCTTTCTTCTATTAATGCTTCTTTCTCTCTCATTCTTGTTGCTGTTTAACAAATTCTCTTAGATCATCATCTTTGAGTTCAAGTCGCTTGTCTCTCTCTATCCACTATTCAAAATCTGTCAACATGGCGATATAGTGTGGTTATGACCTCTACAATATTTTCACCACCACTACAGCTGTGTTTATTTAGGCCTCTTTGCCGATGTTGTTTATATTTTCTTATACTAATGCTTACTACTGTAGATCCTGGCTGGATCGCCACTGTCAGGTTTTGTGAGACTGGATTCTTTACAGTAAATGTATGTGACTTGTTAGCAATAAATTTCAACTATAATCAAACAGCAACACAGCTCGCTTATTTCATCAATAATATATTAAAAACAAATTAAACGTATGTACAAATGTTCGTTACACCATTGGTTACCCCACCTGCATCAGTAGCTTTATATAACAATAATGTTGTTAATATATATGCAGTTACTTAATTTCTTACATAAAAATAACTTTTACCTCAGAATTTGAATACTCCAACAGTTACAAAGAAAGCCCCCCAGTAACACAGCGGTATGTCTGCGGACTTACAACGCTAGAAACCGGGTTTCGATACCCGTGGTGGGCAGAACACGTATAGCCCATTGTGTAGCTTTGTGCTTAATTACAAACAGATACAGAGAAACATCATAAAAAGTGTTGTGGACATAGTTTCTTTATTTCTTACAGTAAAAGTTGTTTTCCTATTATAGATATTTCTGATACTGTAATTGAATCCTTTTAATTACAGACAGACCAATTAATTTGAAGCTGCTATTGTTTATGTATATTGTATGCATTGCTATTAATAGCCTTTATTGATAAATATATAAAAATACATGAAGGCAGAAGCTTAATTTGAAACAGTAATTCACAAAAAAATGCCATCTTTCCAGCAATAAATTTCCACCCAATTTTAAACATCAAGTTTCTTTTCGTTGAATAACCTGAAAAATAAATTGAAGATCAATCTGTTTTGGACTTACTACTTGTCAGTGAGTTGTACAGAGTAAAACACATTTCAAAACATCATACATTTTAACAGCCTATTCAACCTAAAGTCTCCTCTCAAAAGAACAATGAAATTTATCTTAAAAGACTAATTCATATTTATATGTAATAGTTAAATTAGTTTCCATTAAATTTTGTTTGTAGGAAGTAGAAAAATAATACACTTTATTACGAATCGCATCTTAATTATAATCCACTGCATTCGCATTTGTGATTTTTTCCCCATATTTGTAATAATGGTTTCATTTTTACTTATTGTTACAAACTAGATTGATTGTAATATTTATTGTATAATATTTTTTTCAACAGTAGGGGTAGTATGTCAACGAATATAAATTATAATTTTTATTGCTAAAATCGAGATTAATTAAATATTCTAATTTTGTATTTTTTGAAATTGTAAGAACACTCACAATATTTTTATCCAACCTGTCAATAGAACAGAAACCATTTGAGATCGAGAATAGTGTCAAATTGAGTTTATGAGTAGTGATCAAGTTTCATCGAAAATAAATCTTAGGTAATCCTAAATATATTTTTTATTATTTTAGTCATAGATTAATTTAGAAAGTTGCGAAATTTATTAGATACATTGTCTTAAGTTTATTTTGTTTCAATACTTGCCAAAACCAATATCCTGAGGCTTAAAATTAAAGTTACACCATTGAAATAATGGTATCTTTGCGGTGCGTTACATAAAATACAAAGGTGTTTACAGATGAAAAAATGTAATTCTAATTTCAAAAATCACACTTAGTTACTCGTGTCTTATCGCATTTTTCTTAATATTATAATTAAGTACATATTTATCCAAAGTATAAAGTTTAAGTTTAAAATTGATTGATAGTTTCGCAGATTTTGCAATATCTGAAATATTTGAAAACATTGTTTAAAAATCACTTCATGTTGTATAGGCTTGTACAGAAAGAGTACACTGTAAAAACTGTTATTACTCAGGCATTCATTTTATCACCAATTGAAGTTGGTATAAGGTAGTCAAAAACTGGCTAATCTTTTGCACTAGTTAGAAAATTATTGTATAACTTATTCATATTATTATTGCTATTGTGAATATTTGAAGGAAAATTAAAGTGTTATGTTGCCTCAAATCTGGATTAAGACTTTGAAAGCTTTAATAGAATAATAATGAGTGGTATTCAAGTAATGTCTGCAAGCTCAGATATAAATATGTATTTTATTAGTATGTTATATTGACTGTATATGTTGCATTTTTAAAAATCTTATTGTGCTTTTCAGTGAAAAGAATCATTTTGTTGAGCTGTGAGACACTGCACCCACCATGTTCTTATATAATCTAACCCTACAGAGGGCCACAGGAATTACTCATGCTGTTCATGGAAATTTCTCGGGAACTAAACAGCAAGAAATTGCAGTTTCCCGAGGAAAAATTCTTGAACTGCTTAGGCCAGATCCCAACACAGGAAAAGTTCATACCTTACTTACAGTTGAAATATTTGGGGTGATTCGTTCTATAATGGGTTTTAGGCTCACAGGTGGATCAAAAGGTAAATTGTTTGTTTTGAAACAAGTAATTAATAGAACCAGGACTAAGACTAACAAATGCATACCATAAGTTTAGAAATTTCATATTAATTTACTCTGACAGTCATTATGGCATCCTGCAGTTCACCTGTTTCCTCAAACAATACTGTGTTTACATATTAAAAACCTCGTTGAGTAGAAGTTATTTAATTTAAAGTATTTGAATATTGTATTATTTGTGATAATTACATATGAAATTCATGGAGGAACAACAATTGATAAAACTTTTGTATGCATAGTGCCCCTTTAACCTTCTTGTCAAATTTAAAATAAGTCCTTATAGACAATCCTTAGAGCTCCACCTCAAACCTCTTGATCACTATATGAGGGCAAAATTCAAAAAGTTTCAAAATCTAAAAGTAGTTCCTTGTTTGAGCAACTTATTTTCACATAATTCTTTGTTTCTGATACAATATTTTACCTCTTCTCACTAAATAGCTTTTCTCAATTAGTACTGCCCTCTATCGATTCAAATTTTCAACACTCCCAACTAGCCTTCCACCTCCCACTTCTATATATCCACATGCAAATGATCATGCAACAGCTTTCCACCAATAGGAGTTTGACACTACCCCTATTGTAACCAGTGCCCTCTACACATTTTCACGTTAATCACTTCTGAATTGGTAGTAGTACTGTACACATATGCTAATTCTTGTCATCATTTTTCTTTGCTAGTTATTTAAATTTTTCCATTTTGAAATTGTGAAAGGTTGCTTTTTCCAACTTTTCTTACTTTTTCAGGGTCCTTTTTGGCTAGAGTATCGTGGATCCCACTCTGTGGCAAGTGGTGTCTGACCAGATATACTTTTTTCTTTTGAAAATCTACTCTGTCCATCCTGTGACCATGCTCAACTCAATGTCAGTTACGTTGTAGCCCTTCCTTCTGCAGACCTAATGTATAATTCCAGATGCCTCCAGGTGTTGGTTGTGTATGTCTGTACTGTTGTCATCTATTTCTAAACAATTATGTTGCAGGGTTGGGTTATTCACACTATGGAGATGGGGGTGTTCTTTAGGGCTGCTAGTACTCTCTGGTGGTTTTTTGCATCATACATATATTCATCCCGGACCGTATATTCATGAACTAACATGAGTAAAGCAGACAGAGTTTGTTGCTCATCTATGATCTCTGCAGCATTGAAACTCTTCCTACCACAGACCTGATGTACAATTCCAGATGCTGCCAGGTTTTGGTTGAATGACTCCATTGACATGGTAACTGCTTTTCAGAAAAGGTTATTACAATCACTTGTTACACTGTCTCAAGTGATGCAATCTTCCAGACTATCTAACACATTGTTCCTTTGTTTCTTTTAGTGATGTATGGGAGTCCTTACCACTTACCATTTCTTATCTGCTGGGTTGGTGGATCATGGAAGCCTGTCGGTTGAGAGTAGGGCAGTGGTATTCTGCAGGTGTTGATGGCATGTAGCATTTCCTAATGCGTACCTGATGTACAATTCTAGATACCACCAGGTTTTGGTTGTAGCACTACGCCTTATTGTTGTGTGTATATCTTACTGCTTGCTTTTTTTTACGTCAAATTTGTCATTTCTACCATCCTTCGAAGATACATTCATGATGGGTTTGGTGATGGTTGGAGATTGCCCAGTCACAATTAGAATTGTCTTGATAGCATGACACCCTTCCTACTGTAAACCTTATGTAAAATTCCAGATGCTCGCAGGTTTTGGTTGAAGCACTCCTCCATGTTACAACTATATATATATCTTTAATTGTAGTTTTCCTCTCCTACCTACCAGGGGGTCCGGTGTTGGGTGGAGATGGTCCGAGCCATGTAAGTCCTCACATGTGTGCTGGCTGGTATCCCTCCTCCTACCATGGACTGGATGACAAATGCCCATTACCACCAGGTTTACAAGTCTCTCTTCCTACCATCTGCTGGATGTTAGTTCCTGGAGAGCTAGTGCTGGTTGTAGCAGATGCAGCACATTTTCCCACTTGTGCACAACCGGGTATCCTCCTCCTACTGCAGACTGGAAGTACCATACCAATTGCCACCAGGTTTTGGATCAGAGATTTCATCCTGCCAGGGCTTTCCACTTTCCTTCCATCCACTGGATGTTAGTTCCTGGTGGATCTGGTGTTGGAAATGCATGCAAGTAGAGACAGATTTTGGTATAGAAGCTTGTCTTCTTTATCAATTCCCATTTCAAGGTGAAGAGGTAAGTGATCCTCTTCCTACTGCATATCTGATGTACCATTCATTGGTGTTGGATGAGGTCGAACTACCACTAGTCTGTTGTACTCTAGCCAGTCAACACCCAGAGCTCCCATTAATCAGTCATATATATTCTGAGATTTCATGTTTTTCCCTCTTTTATGTTCTCGACACAGTAAAAAAAAGTGAAGAGTATACCTGGTTCAGATGTGGTGCATACACTCATTGAGGTGTTTTGTTTTCTCTTTAGGTTCCACACCAGCTGGTCTCTCTTTGGATGTTTCCTAAAGGCAGATAATTTTTTCACCAGTTCACTTGTGGGATTCTAGCTATTTTGTGAGCAGAGGTAAAATATCGTATCGGAAGTTAGCATTTTCCTACACTTGAACTGTATTTCTGATAGATACTTACCTCCTATCACATTTCCCACCCAGCCTCCCCACTTTCGGTGATATATGGTTTAGGTCTTCTAACGAAACTCAAAGTGATTAAGAGTGCAAATGTGAAGAGGGCACTGGTTATGATAGAAATTGTTATGCTCCTGTTGATGAAGACCTGCTGCAAGATCATTTGCATGTGGTTATGCAGAAGTGGGAGGTGGAAGGCTAGTAGCGAGCATTAAAAATTTGTGCCGATAGAGGGCAGTACTAATCAAGAAAAGCTATTTGGTGAGAGGAAGTAAGTATCTATCAGAAATACATTTTCATTGTAGGAAATTGCTAACTTTATTGTGACCCAGCTGTCACACCTGTTGGGAAACACTTGCATGTGAAATCTACACATCATTTAAACCAATCTTCCTTTCTCTGGTTTCCTGTACCTCATACCTGGCTGTCTATGCCTTCAGTCAGATCTGGTGCCACCTTTTTCTGAAGGCCTATCCTTCCCTCTGCTTCTCCCTCCAATAATCACTCTGATTCGGAATAACCCTTGCAGGATCTATTAGTTTTTCCTCACTGGTGATCCCAACCTTGGAATTAATAACATAGCCTGACTTACTTAAAATCACTTTGAAGAGTTTGGATTTTCTTCTATTATTAATGGCACTAGTTTCACATACTTTTTCAAAATTTCCATACAGTTTCTACTGAAACATGAAATTGTTATACAATTTGTTACTTAGAGTAGTTTTTACCAGCCAAAGTTTTATTATCTGCACATCTTGTGTCTGGTGGTTCTATTGTGGAAGACATGAATACATTAATCACAATAATATTTGGAGTAGTATGATTACAGGTACTTGTATGCATTAAATTGTTGTGGTACTGTCTGAATGGTTAGATGACATCCAATCATAGTTTAAAAACTGTTAACATGTGATATACAATAACATACAATGTTAACATATTTTATACAATAAAAGGGGAGCAATCCTATAATATTTACACTTTATACTAATTTTATTCACTTTTTCTGTAATTATTTCCAATGTGCTATTTTTGACCTAATACAGAGCAACTACCACACCTGTAGTTGGCTGCAGACTGTGGATGGTGGTAGTTTTCAAGATGTTATGGGTTTCAGCACATAAACTTGTGACATTTTTGTTATTTGTAGTATGCTGCCTTATTCATCATTCAGAGATGAAAGTCTTCCGGAAAT